TTGCCTTACAGATGGTAAATGCCAGGAAGCTGTGAGAGAGGGTCAAGCTATTCTTGAGCAATTGCATGAGGAAAAATCTGAAGGATCATGTAGTGAAGTGGCAGAGAGTATTAAAAGTAACAGTAGTGAGAAGGCAAAAGAGCCTGAAGATAAAAATAGGAGAAGGCTCTACCCAGACTTGACCGAATTAAAAACGCCTGAGAACACAAGCGACTCAGAGAGTTCTGAGGACCTTGATATATTGTTACAACAACTACATAAGATAAAAATGAAAAAGAAGAAAAAGGAGACACAGGGCACACAGGCCTACTGTAAGAAGGGGAAGGGAGTTAACATTGGTCAACAAAACTCTGAGGAGGAGGAGGTAGAATATCTAGAAGAAGATATGGTGCCGATTGCCCCACCTCCGTATGTGGGGGGGAGCCAAGGTTCCGGGAGATCTTTTCATGCACAAGTTTGGAGGACAGTTAATACAGATATGGGACTTGCATACCCTGTATTTCAGGACAATAACAGGGGAAGATATCATGAGCCTTTAGACTTTAAGATAATTAAAACCTTGGCAGAATCTGTCCGCACTTATGGCATAGATGCCGCTTTCACTCTCACTCAGGTGGAGGGACTTACTAGATTTTGCATGACTCCCTCAGATTGGGCTAGTCTAGTCCGCGCTTGTGTTTCCCCAGGGAAATATTAGGAGTCCAAAGTTGGCTGTTTAATGTTTCTGGAAGTACCCAAGACTCGGAGCGAGGTAGGAGGCTTAAAATTTCTGCAAATAATTCACAATTATCTAATGCTACATTACCCTCCGCAGCAGTCCGTCTCCAATCTCCGTTCCTGTTTCTTTTGGCTAATGTTACATTACAGGGGATGCTTAATTGCTCTAATATTACCTGTTATTTGTCTGAGTGTTGGAATGGATCCTGGCCTATGGCAGTGATTATAAAAATTCCAACTTTTGTCCCGATCCCGGTTACTGCGGATCCAGAGTCATTTCCTATTGTTGAACTGATTAGAGCCCGTAGAGATTTTGAAATTACGGCAGCCATAGTGACAGCTGTGGCGGTATCTGCTGCTGCAGCAGTTATAGCTGGAGTAGCCATGGCCAGCCAGGTACAAACTGCTGCCACTATTAATCAGGTTATTCAACAAACATCCACCATACTTGAATCTCAAAGTAGAATTAATCAACACATTTTATCTGGGATTCTGGCTGCTAATCAAAGGATAGATCTGCTTCAAGCTCAAGTTGAGGAATTGTCTGACCTAGTACATTTGGGTTGTGTTGATCAACGTGCACATTTATGTATAACCTCTGTCAGATTTTATGATTCCAGAAATGCCTCCCACATCATCGGGGAGTATCCATCCGGAACCTGGTCCATGGAAGCAGAAAACTTGATCCAGTCTCAACTAACTCAGATTGCTGTTTTGAATAGTACCCGTGTCGAACGAGTGACTTTGGGTCAATTCACCGATTGGATATCTTCTGCTTTTTCCTTCTTCAAAGAGTGGGTGGGAGTAGGCATTTTTGGTGCAATGTGTTGCTTCGGTGTTGTACTTTGTTTGTGGCTTCTCTGTCGCCTTAAAACTTGCCATGCACAAGAAAAGGCTATGATCATACAAGCTCTTGCAGCTTTAGAAAATGGCAACTCGCCTCAAGTCTGGCTTGCGCATCTTAAGCAGTAAACCTTTGTCATGGTCGTTACACCCCAAGTTATTATAACATTGCACTGGGATCGACATGACTTTCCTTGTTATTCTCTTAGTGTTGGAAAGCCCTTGCACTCTGCCGGTCTTACTGCCATTGCACGCAGATGGGTTTCCACACTAGTACTTTTCTATCGCCTTGAAGTTCGTGCCTTTCTTTCAGGGTGCTGTCAACTTGTTTGTCGTTATAAACAGCCACAGTTCAGCCTCAGCTATCCCCCTTCGTCCACCATCGTCACGATACAGGATGCGAGGCAAGGCACTGCACTTGAGTGATCCTTGAAGAGGACCTCAAGGAGAGCATGTCCTATTGCATGCGGGTTAGACGCGTTCACGCCCCGCCCCACGAAAAAAGGCGTCGGCTGATATGGCCTCAGATCTGGGGAAGGGCCCTCCTTGGGACTGAGCCATACTATGCAGCCACTTCTGCACAGTGGGATAGGACCTCTACTCTCGCCTGTATTGTTTTAATAAAATAGAAAAGGGGGAACTGTGGTGAGCCGCTTCTGCCGTTTCTGCAGATTATGGTCGCCATTACAAGATGGCGCTGGCTCCGCTGTGGTCTGTGACAAACAATTTCTTATCTGGGAAAGTTGGCACATGATTTTTCACCACCCTGTGAGAAAGCTCCACGCGGCAGCTTTGCATTGGGGCTTGGGATGCTTTATTAAGGCTGGGAGGGGCATCAGAGAGAGAGAAGAAGAAATATCAAGGGCCTGAATAAACTGCTGAAAGAAGATTCCTGAGTTGCGTCTTCCTTGCGGGCAAGGGGTCGCGACACATCTCCAGTTCTTTTTATTTTTCATTTTGAGTCAGGATTTCCCCAAGTTGCCCAGACTGGACTTGAACTTACAAATCTCCTACCTTAGTCTCCCAAGTTGCTAAGATGAGAGGCATGTGCCAAAGTGTGCATTGGCTAAGTTATCCTTTTCTAATGAAAGATTATCTACCATAAATAACCTTGCCTCATAGATACTGGTTCTATTTCTGAGCACTCAGGATCAAAGGCTACATGTATTCAATTTCCTATGTGGTAGATCAGGGAAATATGATAGGGATATTGGATAGTAACATGTCAATAAGGTATTTGACAAGCTTGCTGCTGTTTGAATGTCTGTCCCCTCTAAAACTTATGTTGAAATTCAGCTACCATGGTAATAGGATTAACAGGTGGGACCTTTAAGAGGCAATCAGGCCATTAAGGATTCACCCTCATGGTGGGACTGATTCTTTACAAAAGCACAAGCCAGTTTGTCCCTTCCTTCTGTCTCCTCTCCTCCCTCTGGCTTCCACCACATAATTATACAGCAAAAAGACCTTCACCAGATGTGAACACCTTGACAATGCACTTCTCAGCCACCAGAACTATGAGCCAATAAATGTGTTATTTATAAATTTGTGTAGTCCTAGGTATTCTGTTATCACTGCACAAAACAGACTAAGACAGCTTCTTACAATTATCTTATAAAGGAATAGAGATGCCGATGCTGAAAAACAGGACAACTGTATGGATCACTGACAGACATGCCTGAAGATTATGGTACTGGAAGGTTAATTTGTAGTGAAGACTCAACCCCCATGCCATGGAATGCTGCTCAACGTTTCATCAAGAGCATTCATGCATCTAAACACCAAGTATATAATAACACAGTCAGGAAGGACAATAAATACATTAGATCAGTACTTTCCAAGGTGTTACAAAGAACTTAATACATGTTGTTTAAAGAAAGTAGATTGGTGGGGCTGTGGCTATAGCTCACTAGTAGAGCGTTTGCCTAGCACGTTCGATCCTCAGCACCACATAAAAAACAAATAAAAAATAAAGATAATAAAAGAAAAAGTAGATTGGTGCTTGCCAGGGGATGGAGGGAGGAAGGAACTAGGTATATTAAAAAGTCCTTTTTGGGTGGTTGAAATGTACCGGAATTAAAGAGTGGGAATGGCTGCAGAACATTGTGAATATAACAACACCCATGACCTTCTACACTTTAAAATTAAGTTTATGTTAATTATATCCTAATATTTAAAAGGAAAAAAACTGGAATTAAAAAAAAAAGTTGGCTAATCAATATTAAATGAGCTTAATGTTAAGCAATTATAAGTCTAGATATATTCTGTATTGCCTAAGAAGAGTTCAAGTTTATACCTACTATCTGTTTCATTATTAACAACATACCACTTCAACCCAAAACCATCCTAACTTGAACAATAAATCATAAGATCACCCTAACTATGTACACCCAGTATTGAAGAACAGATAGGATAGAGTTTCTAAAATATATCTGACCACAGCTATGGACCCACAAAACATTTGAAATGCAACATTAGATGGCAGAATAAAGATGGAAAATCATGAAATCCATTATATCCAATTTTAATTGGGGAAACTAGAAGTAATCACCATATACAGAGAATGTGAGTTCAAAATTATATTATTGGCTGAGAATTTTTATAATCATACACTGTGACATTGCTTTTATTTAACAGGCACGTGTGAATATTATTTATTAAATGAATAATAAACCAAAGACTGGAAATCAAATAGAGATAAAATATAAGGCCAGCATATCACTCTTAAAAACCTAAAGAAGTGCAATCCATAAAGGATAACATAGATTAAGGGGCCTCTTAACAATAAGCATAATAATCAATAATGTGTTATAACTATCAATTTAATAAACAATGTAATATGCAGAATGAGAATGATTCCCATCCATTGAATGATGCACACCCATAATCCCAGCAGCTCAGGAGGCCAAGGCAGGAGGATCACAAGTTCAAAGCCGGTCTCAGCAACTTAGCAAGGCCCTAAGCAACTTAAGTGAGACCCTGGCTCTAAATAAAAACATTTAAAAGGGCTGGGGTGCTTAAGCACCCCTCAGTTCAATCCCCAATACAAAAAAAGAAAAAAATTACCATCCTAGTGATCACCAATTGGGTGAGAGAGTGATATAGTGGAAAGAGCACTAGCTGCTTTGCAGTTACTGTAAGAATCACATCATGGTCCCAGCATTAATAGCTCTGTGACTACAGGAAAACCACTGACCCTCTCTGAACCTCAGCTGTCTCATCTATAAAATGGAGTAGTAACACCTACACTGCTGGACTGTAGCCACAAGTGAATGAAAGAACATCTATAAAAGGCCTGATGAACGAATAGGAAGTGCTAAAGGAATTGTTAGCTGCTATTGTTACTGCTTTTAGCACTAGTTTCTTATACTCTTGTATAATAATGCTTTCAGAATCATCAGAAAAAAACTAGCAGAGTATAAAATGAACACCATCCTTACCTGTCTGCTACACTCCCTGGGTGTACTTCCTTCACAAAGATATCAACTTCTCCCTGATTTTGACTTTTAAGGGCCACCACGCTGAATCCAAGGCCTCCAGTTGAAGGCCGTTCTATATCTATATATTCAATTTCCCGGCCCTAATGAAGGGGGATAAAAGAAAAATATAAATGTCAATGAATCTACATTTAATCAATGCACCCTTTCCACAGAACTGAAATTGCTTAGCAGAAAAATAGCTTCTCTAAGACATTTCTACAAAACCAAATAAACTCAAAATAACTCAGCATTTCACTAATACATTATTCCAGGAACTCTCTAACTTGATTATTTTCAGTAGAACACAAAAGAGAGTGTGCAGCACTGTAACCTTAGGGAATTGAAGAGGTATTTTCACACTTCATTCACATTTCTCGATGAATCCCAAGCTGGATGAGAATGCCTAAGAAAAATGCTCTTTCCCACAGTAAATTCTAAATTACTTTTTTATATTGAATTTCCCTAAATTCTCTTGATGCAAAATTCAATTTTTAATGAGGAAAAGTATATTGGATATATCAAAAATACACTAGTATTAAGCCTACACAGAACCAGCAACTCTTTAGGGTTCTGTTTTTAATTCTATAGTGATGAATTACTATTCCATTTATTCAATCAATTCAAAAGACTGTGGAAAGGCCACCATTCAAATTGGTTCTACCTGTGACATGTAGGAATTTGATTACTTTAGTTAATAATTGCTTTTATGTGAACTTTATAAATGTAATCAACTAACAAGATCATCACATGAAGGGACCAGAACTATTAAGCAAAAAAAGTAGTCCAGAACACTAGTTAAATATCACATCTTAAACAGATTCTTTTTAATTTTCAAACAAAAGTTTCATTTTTAAAGACTGCTGAACAAACACAAAACATATTCAAAAGTTCGACTATTATTTAATTTTTAAGGTAGCAGAAGCTACAACTGTCAATTTTTTCCCCCAATTTTCTAAATTGTATTTGTTCCAACTCCCACTAATTCTGTTTTGATATAAAATTTAAAACTGTTTCAATGTTTCATCTTGTGATCAAAACCAGTAAGAATCTTCTTCCTGCTGGATACGGTGGCACATGCCTATAATACCAGAGACTCAGAAGGCAGAGACAGGAGGATCACAAGCTCAAGGCCAACATGGGCCACTTTGCAAGACACTGTCTCAATATAAAAGTAAAAAGGGCTGGGGATGGAGCTCAGTAGTAAAAGCACCCCTGGGTTTAATCCCCAGTATCAACAAATAAATAAGTCTCTTTCCTTATAAGAATAGAGATGTGTTCAATTGAAGTCTTTTCCTAAAAGTTCTCCTCACCTCACACATGGACATTTTCTTGTGTGATTTTAAGATAATAAAATTCCAAAACACAGGTTAGAAAAGGGTGCCAATTCCTCCTTTCAACATAAAAACAAAAGCAAATACATAACACATGTTAAGACAAAGAATGGGTTTCTTTTTAAACCTGAAGCAGGAAAGATAAAGCTAAATATTCCCATGACAAGGTATAACTTTACCTGAGCCATCTGTTGAATGATTGAGTTAAAGTCTTCATTTCCCAACTTTTCGGTCCATGGAAACAACCCAGATGCAGTTAAATTATTACAGGGCCTGTGGGCATTCCCACTTGTAATAGAACTATCCGTGAACACTAACAAACCTTTTCTAGAAAAATCAAAGTTGGCTGAACAATCCGAGGGTATATGGCTGAGCTGGTGGAGAGAAAAACAAGAGAACCATCAACAGAAACCTTCAAAAAAGAAATCATTTCTATTTATTACATATTCTCTTTTGCTCATTATGGGTATAAATTGTATGTTAAAAAACATGTATGAAAGAAATAAGGTGCATAAAAACGAATCTGTGTGCCCATAAGGCTAAAATTTCTAAATTTAATATTACACAAAAATGTCAAATACCTTAAAATCTGTTCTTGTTTCCTGCCTTCTGTGACTACCCCAAGTTCATAGAATGTACACTAACGTCTCATTACCCTTCACACACACAGATGCAACCTGTCATATAAGCGCAAGACACTAAGCCCTATGGCATTTATCTGTACATTTCCACATGCAAAGCCACAAAAAAAAAAATCCATAGATAGTATACATCAATAACAACAGTACTTCCTGAATACTTACTAAGGGCTAAGTATTGTATTGAGACTCTAGCATGTTATAACCTCATTTAATCCTGACAATAGTTCTATGAAATATCATTATCTCATTTTCATGAACATGAAAAATGAGGCACTCAGGGGTTAAGAAACTGACACAAGATTAATAGCGAGTGAGTACAGAGCCACTTAAACATTAATAGAAAAGAATCCTATAAAGACAAAAAAACAGGATTTTTAAAATATCACTGGCTGATACAGCTCAACATAATGGAATAAAGTTAACTTTAAAAACAAATGTCAAGCCCAGAGCAGTGGTGCACCCCTATAATCCCAGCTACTCAAGAAGCTGAGGCAAGAAGGTGCCAAGTTCAAGGCCAGCCTTAGCAACTCGATGAGACTCTGCCTTAAAATAAAAAATTCAAAGGACTGGGGATATAGCTCATTGGTAAATTGCCCCTGGGTTCATCCCCATGACTAAATAGAAAAAAAAAAGAAGAAATGTCAAGAAGCTTGGGATATATAGCTCAGTGGTAGAGCACAAGCTTAGCATTTGCAAGGTCCTGGGTTCAATCACCAACTCCAAAAAAGAAAAAAAATTAAGTTAACCACCATTTTATAATTTTGAAGAAAATGTTCAGAATTCTCTAATTCTAACCTTTAGATGTTTAGAAAACCCATATTCCAAAGCTCAACATAAAATTAATTATCAACACTGTTTTTAGTTTTTATCTTATTTATTGATTGATTGGTACTGAGGATTAAACCCAGGGGCACTTGATAACTAAGCATATTCCCAACCCTTTTATATTTTTGAGATGGGTCTTGCTAAGTTGCTGAGACTGGCTTTGAACTTGCGATTTTCCTGCCTCAGCCTCCAGGGATGCTGGGATTACAGGCCATGAGCCACCACACCCGCTTGATTATCAACATTTTAAAACTAACTATGCTAATGCTACCCACAGGCTGCAGGCCCATGTCTGGTCTTTGCTGAGACAAGATTGTCACAGACAGCTTGTCCTTGATCGTCTCCTCCTGTCTTTTCTCACTTGTTTTACACATCAACACAGAGCTCTTCCATGCTAACTTACTTGCCCCTTCAGTTGCTTGATGGACTGCTGCAGTGTGAGTATCTGGTTGAAGAGAGGACTCCTTAGTGTCTCATAAAACATACTCAGTTTCTCGTTCTGTGAAGTGTCACCCTTATCCTGCAATTTCATTTTCAGGCGATCAAGGACCTGCAGGACCTGCAGTTTATCTTGGTTGAAGAAGAATAGCCAGAAGAGAGGTTAAATACAATCTCATATTCCATTTATGAATCAGTCATTAATTTCATAACAAAACTATATATCTAGTATACCTGTGGCAGGATTTTCAGGCATTTTGGATTAATTGTTTCAATCACCTTTAAAGAAACCTAAAAAAAAAAAAATTAAATACAAAGATGAATTCCATTAGTAAATATGTCTATAGTCCTGCAGAAAAAATAAAGAAAACTTTAAAAACATTCATCAAAAGTCCCTGTGAAATTTAAATTAAAACCATAGTGAGGTACCACTACCTGTCCACTCAAATGGCTTAATTTTAAAAACCAAAAAAAGAGACAATACCAAGTGTTGACAAAACTGCAAAGCAACTAAAATTATCATATTTTGCTAATTAAGGGATGTAAAATGGCATAATCACTTTGGAAAATTATTTGGTAGTTTTTTTCTTTAAATGTACAGAAAAATAATTTCTTATAAAGTTAAAAATACACTGGCACTCCCATTCATAAATATCTACCCAAATAAAATATATGTCCACAAAAAGACTTGTACATCAAAGTTCATAGCAATTTTATTTATAAAGGCCCAAAACTAGAATACCCAAATTTCTAATAACAAATGGATAAATAAATAAGAGTATATAAATAATTCAGAAACAAAAAGGAAAAATAGAAAACAGGAGTCTTCATAAGGAAACAAAAACCCAAAGAAGCAGTTAAACCTGAGCATTTTAATACTAGTTTTGATAAAGAGAATTACAGAAAAATGTGATAGGGCAACAGGGGTCTGAGCTCAGAGGAAACTAGGGAAGACTTAGGCCTGTGTATTGAGCCTTCTCGATGTGCCCATCTTTGGAGATAAAGATGCTTTTGTCCTCTGGGCAGAGGAAGGACACCACCTTTCAGGTGAGGAGCTTTTGACCTGCTTCCGAGGAAGTCTTTCCTGCATCTGTTATTTCTCACATTGCTTCAGCTGATGATCATCAACACACCAAAGCATGGTATGTAGGGGTAGCATGTTCTGAACCCCATTACTAGTCAACACTCTTCCACACTGCTCCAGTAAACAAATCTATAGTTATGGTTAGTCTGTGAGTTATCCAGCTTCTCATGAAGGGAGTCATTACAGATTGTCTGGTTTTCGTCAGTTTTCTTCCCTCCCGCTACAGGGCTGGGAATAGGACCCAGGCCCTTGTGCATGCCAAGCATGTGCCGGCCACACAGCTATAATCCTAAGTCCCCAGCATACTATTTTTGGGATTCAAACTTATTATATATTTTTCTACAACTCTACTCTTCATCAAAACTAGTATTAAAATGTTGAGGTTTAACTGCTTCTTTGGGTTTCATTTCCTTATGAAGACTCCTGTTTCACATAAAACTTATATTAAACAAATGTGATTTTTTTATTGTTTTTTTATATGGAACACTTCACAAATTTGTGTCATCTTTGCACAGGGGCCATGCCAATCCACTCTGTATTGTTCTAACTGCAATATATGTGCTGCTGAAAAGAGGTACTGGGGTCGGGGGACGAGGTCTCTGTTGCCCAGGTTGATCCTGGGCTTAAGGGATCTGCCTCAGACTCCCAAGTAGCTGGGACTATAGCTGTGCACCACACCTGTTTTATTTCTAATTCATTATTACAGCGGCCCCACCTGAGAATATAGAAGAGTAGAAGGAAAGATATTTTTCCTCCCCTACATTGGGATGGGATTCAAGGGAGGTTTTAGGTATAAAGGAAATGCTCTATGGTTTGATTGGGATACTTTTTATACAGATGTATATATTTATAAAAATTCATTAAAGGGTATACATTATTGTATGTAAATTTTACTTTTTTTTTTTAAAGGAAGCTGAGCTGGAAAAGAACATTTGAAATAAGGCACAGTGGCACACATCTGCAATCCAGCTACACAGGAGGCTAAGTCAGTATGATCACAAGTTCAAAGCCATCCTAAGTAATTTGGCAACATGTTGTCCCAAAATTTTAAAAATTTAAAATTAAAAAAAAAAAAAAACCTGCTGGGGATGTAGCTCAATAGTAGACCACTTGCCAGGCACAGTGGCACATGCTTGTAAACCCAGAGGCTCAGGAGGCTGAGGCAGGAAGATTTCAAATTCAAAGCCAGCCTCAGCAACAGCGAAACGCTAAGCAACTCAGTGAGACCCTGTCTCTACACAAAATACAAAATAGGGCTGGGGATGTGGCTTGGTGATTGAGTGCCCTTGGGTTCAATTCCCAATACCAAAAAAAAAGTAGCATGTGCAAGGTCTTGGGTTCAATTCCCAGTATCAGCTGGGTATGATGGTACACACCTGTAATCCCAGTGACTTGGGAGGCTGAGGTGGGAGGATCACAAGTTTGAGGCCAGCTCCGCAAGTTAGTGAAGCCCTGAGCAACTTAGTAAGACCCTGTCTCAAAATAAAAAATAAAAAGGATGAGGGATGTGGCTTAGTGATTAAGCACCACTAGGTTCAATCCCTAATACATAATAATAAAAACAACAATAAATAAATCCAGTACAATAATAATAAAGTGTAAAATTTTAGAGATTAAAAAAAGAAAAATCTCAAGTAGTATCCTAGACTCTTACTAGTCATCAGAATTTCCAGAAGGAAGCCACCCAAAACAGCACTTTATGGATGATGATTTTTAATTCCAGTCATTTGCTCAAATTAGCCTAAAATGTAATGTAATCAAGGCTCAAAAGGCTAACAATTCCCTTTGCTATAACCAAAATGACATTTTGTCGCTAATCCTTTTTATTAGTGATACACTGCTGAAATGAACCAAAGAAATATGAGTATTATACAATCAAAATTTTCTTATATCAACCTAGATACAATGGTTGAATGAGATCTTATCTTCTAAATCAAGCTCGTTAAGCAAGAAATCATACTAAAAACCATAAGGGGGGCCAGGGTTGTGGCTCAGTGGTAGAGTGCTTGCCTAGCAGGCATGAAGCACTGGGTTTGATCCCTGGCACAACATAAAAATAAACAAACAAAATAAATAAAAAGTATTGTGTCCATCTACAACTAAAAAAATATTAAAAAAAAAAACATAAGGGATGTCATCAGCATTGATAAAAAGGTCCAAGCAGTCCATCCAAATGCTCAGTGGATTCAATGGGAACCCCCAAAAGAAATGCTGAACAGGGCATCTCAAGTTACTTCTGATGTGCTCTCTGACTCACTCCGGCAACCCTTACTACTACCCATTGATAGGTGACTGAATAACAGAGGCAGCCAGGATGGCACTATCTTTTTCTATAACAGTATACAGCCCCAAAACACTGACAAGAGCAGCTTGGTGGTAATTAACATATCAACCTCTCTAAGGCAAAGAAAGAAAGCTAAAACATAAAACAGTTAAGATGCCATAAACTTGACATTTATTAATTTATTAAAGATCAACAATACCCTATGCTCCAGATATCATGGAAAAAGAGATTGGAGTATAAATAAGCATAATCTTTTAGGAGAAAGATTTAGCAATGTCAATAAATGTATTAACATATATTTAATTTTCATTTCTTTTACCCAGAATTTCTACTTCTGAGTGTCTCTCCTAAAGAAATAATTGCAAACAGACACTCTGTATGGCAAGCATGTTTACTTTTTTTTTTAAACTATGGATGGAACCCGGGAGCTTTATCCCTGAGCTACATTCCCAGTCCTTTTTTGAGACAGGGTCTAAATTGCCCAGGCAGGCCTTGAACTTGGTGTTCTCCTGCCTTAGCCTCCAGAGTTGCTGTGATGACAGGCATGTGGCACCAGCTACTGCACTGGGTTTTTTTGGTTTAAGGATTTTTTTTGTTTGTTTGCTTTTGTTTTTAATATTTTTTTAGTTGTAGATGGACACACTACCTTTATTTGTGTGTGTGTGTGTGTGTGTGTGTGTGTGTTGCTGAGGATCAAACCCAGTGCCCCCCACATGAGAGGCGAGCACTCTACCACTGAGCTACAACCCCAGCCCCTGCATTGTTAACAGCAAAACTTTTGAAAAATTTAAACTCTCAGTCATTACAATAATAGAGTAGATCTAAGTATACCAAAAGGGAGTGAAGAGGAAACATTTACAGCCTGCCTTTGGCCCACTCTTTCAACTTGAGGGATTCCCCTCAAAACAGACCTCCCAACAACACTTAAGGTTGCTGATAGATAACAAAGTCCCTTATTTTAAAATGTCAGGCTATATCTGCTTTTTGTAAATAATCTGAGAATTTATGGATTTATGGGGCATGGCTGGCTGGGAAATGGGTTACTCAAATATTTTCTATTTGTGTAACTAAAGAAGTATAGAATTAGAGTCCCAAGACAGAAAAGGCTTCTTAGGAAAAAATATTTCTGTACAGATGGCTCAGAACTTGTTTGTTAATCCCACCCCGCAAAAAAGATGTCTCTGGGTGATCCAAAATCAAAAATAAAAGAATAATTGGTTGGAAGGAGACAAATCCCCCCCAACTAATCCATCAGATTTCTTTAAAAAGCCAGTCAAGTGATAACGGGTCATGTTTGGTCAGCAGGTGATAACAACTATACCAAAATATATTACTTTACAAATTTCAGTGATGTATGTATATACAGACATTCACATATATGGCTATAAAATAACCCAGTGTAAAGTCTCTAGATGTAGCAGAAAGCCCGGAAAAAGTAATTAAGACCAGCGTTGCAAATACAAACTGCAAATTGATGCTTGGCCCACAAATAAGTACCAAAATTGTAAATAAGCATTTAGAAACCTTCCTGCAAAATGGCACAGTAAAAGATGTCTATTATATTTAGTAATTTTTTAAAAATGGCATTGTATTTTGTGTATATTTTTATATTTCATTTTTAAAATGATTTCTTCTTAAAAATCAGTCTTTGAAAGATTGAGAAGAAGAGATCATGACCTTTCACCACTGATAGTTTGAGAAGCACTGATTTAGATGGACAGCTTTGAAAGAGTCCTTCTAAATAATGCTAAGCCGACTGGTCTTTATCCTGGAGGCAACAGGAAGTAATTAAAGGCTTTTAAGTAAGGAAGTATTCAGTTCAGATTTCTATTTTTAAAAAGTAATTCTGATAATAGTATTGATCAGTGTAGTCTTCTAACTTTTTTAAACACACATTTCCAGAACATTGAAAACATGCTGGGCTAAAAGTGTATATAGCTCAGTGACAAAGTGCTTGTCTAGCATGCACAAAGTGCTGGTTTCATCTCCAGAAAGGGGGGGGGGGGGTGTATATTATTTTATATATATACACACACACATATATACATACACACACACACACACACGCCTGGAAAACTACTATAATTCCATGGTTTTAGGTAACAACTAGAGGAGAGGACTAAAGCTCTAAGAATATATGAAAGAAATGCAAGTAATCTTCACAGCTAAACACCCAGAAGGTAGCACTTGGGTTAAATGGATCCTGTTTCTCCCTTGTGGTATTATCATAGAAAATCTTTGGCCAAATTTAATGTTTTTAATAAGAAACTAGCAGGGCTTATGGAAGGGAATTTAAAGTTTGTTTAAACATTATAAAGGAGAGTCCAGCAGTCATCAGTTACCTACAATTGGCAGGAGTTAGACATTAAAATGCCACAGCGTACCACTGTCCCCATAGTCATAACAGCCTTAAAAGAATGAGAAGTTTATCATGCTCAGCAGTTTCCACTCCATCATTGATCAAGAGAGTTCAGGCCATGAATTTTTCATACCTGATTCACCGAAGGATTTGATTGAAGGAAATTCTTATAATATTGTGGCTTTTGAAAAATCCATGTTTTTAGCCAATACCAATTAAATGAAATAATTGGGGGGCGGGGGGAAGCTGACAGAGATAGAAATTTAATTTAAATTTCTGCTTGAAAACTCTTTGGAAAGATTTATTAATCTCCTTAGATCAAGAATTTAGGCAAGGGCTGGGGATGTGGCTCAAGCGGTAGCGCGCTCGCCTGGCATGCGTGTGGCCCGGGTTCGATCCTCAGCACCACATACAAATAAAGATGTTGTATCTGCCAAAAACTAAAGAATAAATATTAAAAAATTTAAAAAAAAAATTTAGGCAAATTAAGGACCCCAAGAAACACTTTTCTGACCCCCAGTTACTCACAAGAATGTAACTCCCCACTGATTTAACAAGACATCTGATTTGCTATCTTGAAATTTTAGGAGAAAAAGATCCTGGCTACTTTCTTGGGGAAAATACAGGTAATTAGTCTCTAACTGTATGTGTGAATTGGACACATCACAATTAGACTACACATGACTCCTAAATGGAAATTTCCCAGAGCTCAATGAATTAGGCAGTTCAAAGAATCGATGAGCCATTAAGTATAAATTCATGATTTCAGAAGTCACTCAAAAATTGAAGTCCATGAACAGCTTTAAGTTTCTATCACTTCCCTTGGAAAGTGAAGCTCAGGATTCGTCTAATTGTCATTCCCTGTCCTCAAAGTTCAGCATTTATGAGGTACTGATTAAATGGAAAAAGAACTCCTAGCCAAACAGCAATGTGTTTCCCCACCAAGACTCCAAATAAATACAATCTGCTGCCATACACACACAGATTCAGGTGTTCTCGCCTTGGCTTCCTACCAAATGATCAAGGTCTTTCTAAACCCTTTAGATACAAAAATAATTTTTTTTGTTTTTTTTTAACATTGTCAAAACACTATATCCCTAGAATTTTGGAAACAGATATAAATTCCAGAATGAAACTGACATTTGGGGCTAAATGCTTAAGCCATATGCAATGCTGAAGTTCATTTGACACTGAACATTCAGGAAATGTTGGAATCAAAATTGAAAGACATCATGTTAATTCAAACTCAGAACTAAAAATTGAGTCAGTTCTTCAGAATATTCAGTTAGCCAGATACTAATTTTATGAATCTATTCAACCCATACACTCCCTGTAACTTGGCCAATTCTGAATAAAGTTAAATTGCTCTATGGTATACTTCCACATTCCTCTTGGTGACAGTTTTCTCCCACAAGCAACAATAAAAAAAACCTGGGCAAATTTCAACACTTATGGTTCTCTAATGATGCAGCCAGTTCCCCACAAAAGGACCTTGGGCATTCAGACTCTTCACTAATGGTCAGTGATTAATGATTTGTTTCCAAAAATTCTGTTCCATTTCAAGCATACTACAGATGTGTGCCCTAACTTTTCTCCAGAAATTCTGGTCATACAGTTTTTGGAATGTTTGTACTATTCAAAATAATCCTAGCAAACTATGGAATAGGCCACTCTAGGTTGTGGATGTCCTACCCACCGGCCTTCACCCTCCGTTTTTCTCCTGCCTTCCCCCCAAAATCATTCTCCTGCATTAATTTTTTAATACCTACTATGTACAATACAATACAATGTCACTCTGTATAAAATTATCCCATTTACATTCTTAACAATGTATTATCATTTCCATTTGTAAATACAGAAAACTCCTTACAATTAAAAAAAAAAGAGGGAAATGCTATGAAAAAAAGTTAAAATAGAGGAAACATAGAGGACAATGGGGGGTGTTAAGTTGGGGGGCAGGGTTCAGTATCCAGTGTTAATGACCTTTTTCAACAAACAGCTACATTAAAGGTGAGAAGAGGCAGCATGAGAAGTAGTGGCGAATGCCTTGTAACTCCAGCAGCTCTAGTGGCTGAGGCAGGAAGATCATGGATTCACAACCAGCCTCAGCAACTAAATGAGGCCCTAAGCAACTCAGCAAGACCCCATCTACAACTACAAAAAAAAAAAGGCTGGAGATACGCTCAATGGTAAAGCACCCCTAGTACCAAAAGGGGCGGGGAGAGACTGTTCGAATTATAAATAGCAGGAACATTTGTCAACAACATTGTCCCTCACCATTCACTTATCTCACCTCCTTCTCCTACCACACTCTGTCTTGGATCTTCATAAGAAGTTTCAGAAAATTACTCTATAGTAGCATAGGCCAGAAGTCCTCCGCAGTTCCTATCATCAAAGCCGTGTGCATTAAGGGAAATAAAAACTGACCTATCCCTGAAAGGCTATGGACCAAAAGTATCTACAAAACCAGACAAGAAGCATCAAAGTGAATGGCAAGACTTATAAGGGCAAGACCTACATTAAAGAGTGCTTATTCACAGAAAACTTACTAACTTCTTTTAACCTTAAAGAGAGTTTCCCAAATACATGCACTTAATATTCACAGGTTTTAAATCTGAAATTCTTAAAATATTATCTCTATTTGCAATAATATTGTCAGGTTTTTAAAACTTTATAAATGGCTTGCTATGTATTTATTCTTTGGCAATTTCCTATCTTTAAAATGTATTCATGATGATAAATGCAGTTCTTCCTTAGTCACTGTAACAACTAAATAACATTCCACCATAGGAATACACACCCAATCTATTAAAAAGCATTTTTAGATTGTTTCCTGTTGGTCACTAACACAAAAACAGGATTAGCACTAACTATCCAGCCGGTGTAAAAACCAGTGGCTTGGGAGGCTGAGTCTCAGCAACTTAGGCCCTAAGCAACTCAGTGAGACCCTCTCTCTAAATAAAATATATATATTAAAAATGGGCTAGGAATGTAGCTCAGTGGTTAAGTGCCCCAGAGTTCAATCCCTGGCACAAAAAGAAAAAAAAAAAGAAAGAAAGAACTAAATATCTATTTTGATAACTAATTCTTGAACTATGGAGGTTCTGTAATCTATGAGCTTTGTTAAATTAAAAAAAAAAAAAAAAAAGTACAACCAGGCATGATCATTCACATCTATAACCCCAGCACTCAAAAGTGGTTGAGGCAGGAGGATCAACTAAGCCCAGGAGTTTGAGGTCATCCTGGGCAACACAGAAGATACCATTTCAAAAATAAATAGTAAAAAATTTGCAACTGAAGGGAATTAACATGGGGGGGAGGGTTGTCAACCTGACGCTCAATATCCACTTATTTCAACTTCCTCTCATAACACAGAATCAATAAAAATTATTTAGTTTTTAAAAAGTTAATAGAAATTAATACATTTGTAGTAAAAAGGGCTAAATGAGATACAGCAGAATATTCAACTGGTACACATTCAACAAATGAACAGCTCTTTTCAATCAAAATGATATAAGATATTTTGGGGGCCTCGAGGAAGCTAATAAATTGTAGCTGAGGTTTTGCTGTGTAATTAATAACAGTCATTTCTGAGAAGACTGAACAATAAAATTTTTCACCGTTGCAATGAATACAAGAGAGGAGATTATACAGAGACATCCTATAAGTTAGAGTTAAAAAATCAGTTTATATGTAATCTATGAGCTTTGTTAAATTAACAAAGGGTAAGAGGGTAAGTGCTTCAGTAAACTAAACCATCTTAAAGATTTTTAAGGACAAAAACATACTGAATTCTCACCCAGTGTTACTCAACAAAAATGTAATGTGACACACACATTTAAGTTTTCTAGTAGACTCATGAAAAAGGTAAAAAGAAACAGGTAAAATTTAACTTCAAATACACTTCATTTAACCCAGTACAGATAATCATTTCAATATTAAATAATATAAAAATTTGTGAAGGTATTTTAAATTGTTTCTATACTAAATCTCTTCAAAATCTAGTGTGTATTTTACATTTACACTCTAAAACCAAATAGTCCCATTTCAAGAGCCCAGTAGTCACATGTGCGAGTGGTTTACTGTGTTGACAGGAGTATTAACCTAGACCTTTTCACAAAAATCCCTGCACAGTGTTTTCAGAAAAGACTTTTGTTTGTCAGGTCATATGGTCAAAGCAACTGGGAGAACAGAATTGAGCTTTATGCATAAAAAGATTGCATCTCCATAATTCTATCAGAATTAAACCTCAGAATGGAGGAGCAAAAAGTGGGAGAATAATAGCTTACCAATTTACAAGGCACAACATTTTCTTTCTAACTACCCCAAATCTCAGAAGATCAACTACAAATGGGAAAATGGAGGACCAGAATCAAACAACTTACCAAAACTCATATGGTAAGTAGACCTAATGCCATGTCTTCAAACTATTCAGGTTTCACAGCTGTATAAACAACAACAACAACAACAAAACGTGGGCTCTATCTCTTCAGCATTGATACATCCCACCTACTAAAAGAAATGATATTGGTTGGGGTTATAGCTCAGTGGTAGATATACCTAGCATGCCCATGCACTGGGTTTGATCCCTAGCACCACAAAAATAGATGAAAATAAAAGAAAGGGAACTGAGAGGCACTAAATTTCTCTCCATTTTCACAGAACCTAAAATGGGAGCTTTTAAAAAGTCATCTAAATCTAAACAAAAATCTCTAAGTAAAATAGAAGAAGAAAAGACAGAAAGACGTAGCCCTAGTCTTACAATCTCAATATCAGAGCAGAATAATCCTATTTTCTTAAAAAAACTTCCTCTACTATCAAAGTGAGCAAATATTAAGTAAACAAACTGAACTCCTTTATGTAAAAAAAATAATTACTAAATGCTTAAACACAATTTTAAGGACTAGGAAATTCTGAGCCACTCTCTCAAAGTCTCAAGTGTATTTAAAAGTGAATTGACTACAAGACAATACACAGATATTTCTAACTTCAAAATACAAATGGAAAAATGTTATTAGTGATTTTCTTTCAATAGTGAGTGGGCTTCTGGGTGCCTGTAGTTGCTCTTCTGACAATTCTCTACAATTTTCCTACGATGAATATGCTAACTTCATAGTTACAAAAATATTAAGGGTCTGGGGTTGCAGTTCAGTGGTAGACCACTTGCTCGGCATCCACGAGGCACAGGGTTTAATTCCTAGTACAATCATCATAAAAAGACTAATGATAAATACATAACGTGATTTTAAATACATAACAATGCCTCATTAAGGCATTGTTAAACACAGACAAGAGCTCAATACAACTGCTTCTCAATTTTAAACAAAACTATTTTTCTGGTGATAAGCCCCATTTTCTGTGACCGCTAAAAGCATCTAGACAGGATAAATCTCTTTGGAACTCATTTTATAAATTCTACCCATTAATTACCTTTCGTGTCCATATTTATTAACTTTCTAATTACTTTAAATTTTTTATGATCCTTATAAAGGCCATTAGGGTACTGGAAACATAAATCTCATTTTAACTACAGGTCACCACCTCACTTGACATTTTCTGATTCTGCAAAATAACCACATTTGTTTTTAACTCCCTCCTCTATTAAAGCTTTCCTTTAAACCAGACGCATGCAAAAGAACCGGCAGCCAATAGGGGGTTCGTCCGCCTTCAATGTGGTCTACCACTCCCAGTGGAACTGAGATTTCCCTTCTAGGCCTCCAGAAGGCTTCTTCATTCAGGAAAAGACTGAGGGGTTGCGCATCTACCAATGAGCAGACCCCAAACGCAGGTGAGAAGCAACCTAGAGAAATCAAGCCGTGTAAAGCGCACCTCAATCACAGAGACAAACCAGTGAACTAGAAATTCGAATCCGAAGTGATAAGGGCCTTCTAGGGAGAGATTAAAGTGCCAATTGAACACACCAGGGGGAGATTAATTTGGCCCGCCGCGTGTACCCCGAGGGCTGGTGCTTTGAAGGGTGGGAAGGCTCTGTTGGGAATGTTTTCCTGAGCTTGACTTGAAGCAGGAATCCTGTAATTTTCCCAAAGGCCAGAGCCCTTTCCGCCCGGTCCTGCGGATCTGCGCAGTGGGGCTGGCAGATCCTGGCCGAGACCTGGCCGGAGCCAAGTCGCCCAGTCGGCCCGCAGCTGGGCCCCGCTTCTTCTCGGGCTCCCGAGCCGGGGCACTACTTGTGCACCCCCTCCACAGTCACTCGTGGAGGAAAAGACTCCGCCCAGCTCTGTGGGCGCAGCGGAAGGCACCGATCTGGGTGCACAATCCAACCCCTGCGTCCCGGAGCGCAGCCGGCCGGAATTGAGGCCGGGGAGGCCTGCGGAGACTGGGCGGCTCCCTTGCCCCGGCCCTGCCGCGAGCCTGCGCGGCGGGGCGGGGTCCGCGGTGGGGTCACGCCGGACCAACGCAAGAGGACAGCGGGACCCCAGCGGGTACCCGCACCCGCCGCGACCCCTCCGAGCGCCCCGCGGTGTCTGCAGCCTCGGGCCCTCCCACCTCCGGGCAGGCGCGCTGGGAGCCGGGAAGGCAGGTTCGGGAAGCGGGCGAAGCGCTGTCCCCGCCGGCCTCGGGGAACCGGGATCCCCGGGGTGCAGAGCGCGCCCACAGTGCTGGGACCCCACGCTTTACCTGGTCCTGCGGAGGCGCGGGTGGGAGCCCGTGGAGGGCTCGGCGGCCGCTCTCTCTCACCTGGGCGGAAGTGAGAGGCCCAGGGTGAGGGCGCCTCACCTGCAGTCCCTCCCCTAATCGGACCCTCCCCGACCGGGGCGGGGCGGCGGGCGAGAGAGTCTGGGACTGGGGAGGCCAGCTGGCTTCACTGTTTTGTCCAGGTGTGGTTCCACTGGCAAAAGATGTTAAAGAGCCCGAGGGGTGGAATGTGGGGACCAAGAGGTCAGATGAAACTCCTCGTGGTGAGGGCACCTGGCGCTGACCGGGTAGGAAGATGCCGGACAGGTGGGGTTAGAGGGGTGGGCTGAGAGCGAGACCCCAAACCAAGGAAATCGAAGGTGGATATTGATGAAACCACGGAGTCAAATCCACTTTGCACTTTGTCCTTTGGTCCTTTTCTTTCCCCCATTTTCTTATCCCACCTTGTGTTTTCTATATCTGATGACACAACATAAAATTTCTTAAGTGTCAATCCGTAGCCTTCTTCAGGCAGAGAAGAATAAATTGTAGGAGTTTTATTTTTTTTATTTAATTTTACAAAAACTAATCGAGCTGTATTGGCTAGCTATATATGCAAGATGCTAACTTAAATATTATCGCATTTATTGAAAAACACTAGGCACCTGGTAGATTTAGTACCTCAAATTTAGTACCAGCCAAAGTCTTTCGACTCTAAATACTGTATTGATTTTACAATACATTTTAACATTTCCCTTGTTTTGTTTTGCCTTTGTGGGTTTTTGTTTTTCTTTGTTTTTGAGACAGAGTCTCTCTAGGTCTGGTAGGAAGATAGACCGTTTTCTTCCAAGATCTGGAACAAGATAAGGATGTTCACTTTCAATTATAGGGAATACAAAGCCCTAGCAGTAGGAACATGAGGCTAAAGGAATGTCTATAAAAGGGATCCACTGTGAGCTGGGGATATAGCTCAGTTGGTAGAGTGCTTGCCTTGCATGCATAAGTCCTTGGGTTCAACCCCCCTCATCACAAAAAAAGGACCCACTGTGCTGACCTCCATATACTTTCCTTAAAAAAAAAAAAAAAAGCAAATTACCTGCAGCCTTGCCTAGCTTGAATCAACAGGATATGTTACATTCCTCAGCAAACAACCTGTTATCTACTGGAGGCCTACAGGCCCACATGCTAATAAAAGCACAAATTACTCTTAAGGGGGTTGGAGGGTACTTCCTTGTGACCCTTACACAGACCTATCTCCCAGACTTTTCCCCCTCACCATAAAATCTGTAAAAACAGGTTCCAGTTAAAACCAGTCAGATTGGGCCAAAGTAATCTAAAGCTCTCATGCACAGTGGTAGCTTAAAAGTCTGATGTTATCTTGCTGTCAGTTAAAAGTCAAGAGGTAGACCTGAGCAGGACTCTTTGAAAACTTCCCTGGGGCCCCCCAATAGAACTGGAGGTAGAGGGACATGCTGTCCTTCTTTTCTCTGAGAGTACCCACTCTCTACTTAAAGAATGATCCCTTTTCCCTTTCCTAGTCTTTCAATAAGCCCTTCAAGCCTGCAACTCTGAGCAAAATGTCTCAAATTTGGGGGGCATGATTTCAAAAATTGGGTTATAGGGGGGGCCTCTGTGGATGCCTCAGCTTCATAGAAGGCCTATGCCCTACATCATTAATCTTATTCCATATATTATTGGAAGCCTTAGCCAGAGCAATAAGGCAAGAGAAAGAAATAAAGGGCAGCCAACAAGGAAAGGAGATGTCAAATCATCCCTGTTTGCAGATATTTGACTTTATATATAGGAAAACATGAAGACTTCACACAAAAACAACTTTTAGTCCTAATAAACTAGTAAAGTTGCTGAATACAGAAATCTGTAGCAACTATCATCATATAGTGGCTAGTACTATGTGTTTTACCACTAGCAACCTCAGTTTGCATCTGAGTCATGCCACCAATAATAATAATCAGTAGTATTTTATACCAAATAATAAACTCAGCAAGAAAAAATTAAGAAATGAATCCCACTCACAGTAGTTAAAAATACTTTAAAACACCTAGGGATAATTCTAAGCATCGAAGTGAATTATCTCTGAAAAAAAAATACTGATGAAAGAAATTGAAAAGAACACAACACTAATATGCAAAAGGAAAGACAACCCATGTACATGAATTTGAAGAAGTAATGTTGTTAAAATGTCCACACTACCTAAAGGTAGTATATAAGTTAAATGAAATTTTTATCAAAATGTCAATGGTAATCTTTACAGAAATAGGAAAAAATCCTCATATTAATATGAAACAAAAAAAAAGAGTACCCAAAGCAATCTAAAGCAAAAAAGAAAATTAAAGATGGAGGCAGAATTGCCAAGGCAATTCTGAGCAAGAAGACCAATGCAGGAGGCATCATGATACCTGTCCTCAAATTATGCTATAGAGCTATAATTAAAAAAAAAAAAAGCATAGTATTGGCATCAAAATAGACATGAAGACCAATGGAATAGAAGACACACAGACCATCATACATACTTATGGTCATCTGATAATGATGTTGAAAAAAAGATAGCTGGCAAAACTGTGTATCCATATGTGGAAGAATGAAACTAGATCCCTATCTCTCACCCTGCACAAAAGTCAAATCAAGTGGTTCAGCAACTTAAACCAGAAACTTTGCATCTGTCAGAAGAAAACATAGACTCAATACCAACATATCGGTATAGGCAGACTTCCTTACAAGACCCCTATTGCTCAAGAAATAAAACCAAGAATCAATAAGTGGGATGCTATCAAATGAAGAAGATTCTGTACTGCAAAGGAAATGATTAAGAGAATGAAGAGAGAATTTACAGAATGGGAGAATATCGTTGCCACCTACTCCTCAGACAGGAGATTAAAATCCAGAATACATAAAGAACTCATAAAACTTACACACACAAAGCCACACACAATTCAATCAATAAATGGAAAGAAAAACTAGACAGACATTTCTCAAAATGACCAAAAAATATATAAAAAAATGTTCAATATTTCTAGCATCTACTGATACCCTGGTCTCACCATATCCCTCATCGGTCCAGGACCCAACAGGGAAATGCAAATTAAAACTACACTAACATTTTATCTCCAGTCAGAATGGCAATTATCAATAATATAAATAGTAATAAATGGTGACAAGGATATGGGTGATATTGCACATCCACTGTTGGTGAAAGTGCAAATCAGTATACCTACTCTGGAAAGCAGTCTGAAGACTCCTCAAAAAACTAAGACACATATGATGCACCTATCCCATTCCCCAGTATTTGCCCAAAAGAACTAAAATCAGCATACTACAGTGATAATAGCCATATCAATGTTTATAGCAGGGCATGTCACCATAGCCAAATTATGAACCAGTCCAAATGCATGTCAATAGATGAATTGATAAAAAAAATGAAGTATATATACACAATAAAGTTTTACTCAGCATAAAGAAGAATGAAATCATGGAATTTCCAGGTAAATGGATGGAAGTAGAGAACATGATGCTAAGTGAAATAAGCTAGACTCAGAGAATCAAAGCTCAAAAAAGTTTTCTCTCATATGCAAAAGCTAGAACAAAATTAGGGAAAAAGGGGGAGAGGTCTAATATCATAAAGGTATAGGGAAGATCAGTGGAATAAAAGAAGGAGATCAAGAGAGAGGGAGGAAGGATGGGAAAGGGGACAAAATGGGAAATGAATTTGATAAAATGATACTATGTGCCTGTGTGAATTCCACCTTTATGTATATCTATAAAGCACCAATCAAAAATAAATAAATGAATGAGTAAAAGGAGGACCAGTAAAGAAGAGACAGAAGAATAGAGGGAGCAGAGGAGGGAAGGGTAGGGGGTAGAGGTTGAGGAACTGAAATAGAATAAATCAAATTCCATGCATGGGGCTGGGGATGTGGCTCAAGTGGTAGCACGCTCGCCTGGCATGCGTGCGGCCCGGGTTCGATCCTCAGCACCACATACAAACAAAGATGTTGTACCCACCGAAAACTAAAAAATAAATATTGAAATTCTCCCTCTCTCTCTCTTTAAAAAAAAATTCCATGCATGTATGATTTTGTCAACACAAACCCAACTATTATGTATAACAGTGCACTCATAAAAAAAAAAAAGAAGAAGAAAGCCAGAGGTATCACAATACCTGATTTCAAAACATACTACAAAACCAAAGTAACCAAAACATCATGGTACAGGCATAAAAATCAAGACATGAACCAATGGAACACAGAGAAAACCCAGGAATAAATCTACATACTTATAGTCAAAAGGTCTTCAATAAAGATGCCAAAAATGAATTGGAAAAATATACTGTCTCTTCAATGCATGGTACTATGAAAACTGTATATTCATATGCAAAAGAATGAAACTAGATCCCTATCTCTCACCATAGACAAAAATTGACTTAAAATGGATCAAAGAACTAAATAAAGGACCTAAAACTACTAGAAGAAAGCATAGGAGAAACATTTCAGAATATTGGCACAGGCAATAGTTTCTTTGGATAAAACCCCAAAAGCACAGGCAATAAAACCAAAAATAGACAAATGGGATCATGTCAAACTAAGAAACTTTTGCATAGCAAATTAAATAATTAATAGGATGTAGATACAAACTTCAGTATGGGAGAAAGTACTCATAAATTATTCATCCACCAAATAATTATAGTCAGAATATAGCTGGGCATGTTGGAACAAATTTGCAATCCCAGCTACTTAGGAAACTGAGGCAGTAGGATCAAAATTCCAGCCAGCTTCAGCAACTTAGTGGAACCCTGTTTCAAAATTTAAAAAAAAAAAAAAGTTATAGATCCATTAAAAAAAAAACTTAAATTTTAAAAGGGTTAGAAATGTTGTTTAGTAGTAAAGCACCCCCTTGGGTTAGATCCCTAGTATTGGGAAAAAAATACAGAATATTCAAGGAACTCAAAAACTCAACAGAAAAACAAAGCAAAATAAAGATGCACAAAGGATTTGAAAGACATTTCTCACAAAAGCATACACTAACAGCCAAAAAATATATTTTTTAAATGCTCAGTATTCATAATCATCA